CTCACCCTCTCAACCCCGGGCCTTGGCAGAACCTTCAAGGGTCTTCTACAGCCTACTGTTCAGTTTTGGTCCATGGCCTGCCCCAGCCCTGTCTACTTCCTCCCAGGCTCTCATGACATACATTCCATGGCTCCCCATGTCCGCTCCGTCCTCCTGGTGGGACCTTCCGGCATGGGGAAGAAGATGTTGGTCCATGCGGTATGCACAGAAACCGGCGCCAACCTGTTTGACCTGTCACCCGACAACGTGATGGGCAAATACCCTGGAAAGAATGGAGCCCAACTGCTGGTGCACATTGTCTTTAAGGTCGGTAGCCTTTAGCTTGGAGCAAGGGTGGATTTCTCAGGATGGAGACAGCGGCAGGGTGGGTTTTCTGAACACTTTAGGGGTGACCCATATTGTACTGAGATACAGGGACCTGAACAGATGTCTTTCTTCCAACTCTTGTGGGAGCCTGGGTTCCCATGAAGCTCCTGTGATGGGGAATGTGGAAGGCGGAGAGGCAGAGGGGAGCGAATAGAAGCTAGGAACTACAAAGTCATCTGATGGGGTTTGACCCAGGTAGGGATATGACCCTTGCCCAGGGACATCTGACATCTGGCTTCTATGCTCCACCCTATCCAGGTGGCCCGGGTCCTCCAGCCCTCTGTCATCTGGATTGGAAATACTGAGAAAACCTTCTATAAGAAGGTCCCCAAGGAAGAAAGGCCGGTGAGCAATATGGGCAGAAAGGGCTGTGTTGAACAACCAGAACCCGAGGCAAGGCTGGAAGTCCTGTTCAAGTCATTGGAAACTAAACTGGCATCTTGTTCGCATTCTCTGTTCTTGCCAGCCATGCCTACTTTAAAAGGTCCGGGACACTCAGAACCTAGTGTCAGCCTAGGGACAGCCTAGGCCATGGACCCTATAACCTTCCCTCTTTGGACCAGATGGACCCAAAGAGAATAAAGAAAGACCTCATGAAGGCCGCTAGACTGCTGAGCCCCGGTGACCGTGTGATGCTGATAGGAACAACTGACTGTCCACAGCTGGCTGAGATGAAGGGCCTGTGCCGCTTCTACGAGCGCATTCTCTTCATACCTCGGCCGGATTATGCTTCCCGTTATGGTGAGGCCAGGAATGGAACCCAGAGACCCCAACCCTTCTGAGTCCCTTGCCCTCTCCCCAGCCCCCACTGCTGCTCTGAGCTTCAGCTCTCCAGGGGCTTGGGGCTGCTTAGACACAGCCAGAGGCTGTGGGCCTGGCTTTTCTGTGGCTCTCTGACCCTTCCGCCCCATTCTCTCCTCTGCCTGCAGTGCTCTGGAAGCGCATGATAGAGAAACGGGGACCACAGGCGGCCCAGAGTCTGGACATCAGTGCCCTGGCGAGGGTGTCTGACGGCTACACCACTGGTCACATTCTCCAAGTCATCCAGTCAGTGCTGACTGAGCGGCGACTCCTTCAGCTGTCCAAGAGGCCACTGGTTGCCTCCGAGTTTGTGGGGCACCTGGCAAGGCTGGATCCAATTTACAGGGAAGAGGAGGAATCCCTAAAGGTGAAGCTGCCAGGCCAGGGTTGGTGGGCTCAGCATTGTTTCCCTGTTGCCAGGAGGTGGTCAGGGCAAATGAATTTGGGCTTCTGCTGGGAAGGGGACTAGTAACACCAGGGAGGGGCCAAGATGTAGGAGTCTGAGCAAGGAAGCGGGAGAGTGCCATCTGGGCCGGTGGCACTGGCTGCTGCGGTTGATGGCCATCTCTGGAGGTGTCACAGAGGCCTGTAGGGGTGGAGGGAAGAGGGCATGCGCCTCTCAAGAACGGTTGGCACTATGGCCTGGAGTACTTACTGGAAGCTGGGAGAAGCCCCTGCTATGATGGAACACCCACTGCTCCCCAACACCTGGAAGGATGATGGGAGAAAATTGCAGGGGAAAAGAGGGTTTGCATCCAGCAGACTGAACCCTTGCTTCTCTGCCATCCCAGGACTGGTATTTCAAGACTCCACTGGGAAGAAAGAATATAAAATTTAGCAAGGACCAACAGGAGGCTGAGGAGACCAGACTGGCGAAGGAGAAGAAGAAGAAGAAGTGATGGCAGCCGCCTGTGGGGTGTGCCCCAGCGGCAAATGAGTAGTGCCTCCAGGGTCAAGGGGAGGGACAGACACATAAAGGCCCAGGTGGCTCCTGAGGGCTTTCTTCTTTTCTTTATCATCTCTCTGGGCCCCGCCCCCTTTACCTACTTCTCTGGCCTGGCTCATCTAGCCTCTGCTCTGGCTGCCAGCACCCCTCCTACCACTCCTGTGACTTTATCTTGTCATTTCCCTGTGCTGTTTCTCCACTTCACTTGCTCAAGGCTCCCCAAGGGGTGTGGGGAGACACAGGAAAGGAAGGACAGAGGGGAGAAGATTCAAAGGGAGAAACACCCAAGTCTAGAAGGGAGTTATCCCACTCCCTTGTAACCTGTCTGAGCCTCAGTTTCCTTCTTTATAAAGTGAGGAGAAGGCTGGAGAGATGGCTCAGTGGTTAAGAGCACTGGTTTCTCTTCCAGAGGTTCTGAGTTAAATTCCCAGCAAGATCTGGTGCCCACTTCTGGAGTGCAGACACACATGCAGACAGAACACTGTATGCATAATAAGTAAATAAACCTTAAAAAAGAAAAAGAAAAAAGTGAGGAGAGGTTGAACAGGACATCCTCTAAGGTTCTTCCCAACCTGGAACTCAGTTATGCTAGGCAAAGTGTCTCCAGGGTGAGGAGGGAGTGAAGGAGGTGAGGATGCTTGGGTGAGAGTGGTGGTGGGGCTGGAGGGGCTAGGGTGGACCACAGAGTCTGTGGTTTGTAGACTGGGTTGACTGGGGTGGGAAGACCCACCCTAAATGTGGGTAGAGCCATTTCATGGGCCGCAGTACTGAATCAAATGCAAAAGCAAAGGTAAGGCAGGCACTGGTATTCTTCGCTCTGTGCTTCCTGATTGTGGAAGCAATGGGACCAGCCACCTCACATTCCTGCAGCTTGTCTGCCCGACATGACAAGCCATGTTCCCTTGACCTGTGAGCTGGAATAAAGCCTTCTTTCGGTTGCTTTTGTCAAGTCTGTTCGATTTTTGGTGTTGTCATGTGGAGTTTTGGTGGTGGTGGTGGTTTTTGTTTCGCCTTGTTAAAGCAAGGAGAACAGCAACAATTACAACCTCTTTCCTGCAAAACCTCTCCTAGTGGATGGGAAACTCAGAGGTCAGGACTACTGGGTCAGCAAGGGCTAAAGAAGACACAGTGCCTTCTCAGAAGACAGACCTACAAACCCTGTACAGAGGGCATGAGGAAAGTCAGTCGGTGCCCATGGTGCCCAGTCAGTGTGAGCCAGACCAGGGGAGATCCCAGAGCCCACGGCAGGCAGACTCAACAAACCAAACCCAAGAGCTTCACTTGGCTCTTTTTCTTTCTCTATTCTTTTGCTTTTTATCCCCACCTTCCTCAATCAAAGCAGTCTCTATCTTCTGGGCTGAATGGCCAGAGAAGCCTTCTAGATCACTCCCAGCTAAGACTTCCGTACAGTTCTGAAGGGGTAGAGACACCAGGTAGAAGATGCTGGGAGTCATCCAGGGAGTGAAGTTGGCACCTGAGATGGGCAGGGTAAACTGGTGCCTGGAATGTGTCTGGGGGGCTGGCCCCAAGAATGGATGGGAGGCCAGAACTTAAGATGGGCAGGGAGTTGTTTCCTAGGGTGAGAATGGGGATCAGCACCTAGGAGAAGTATCGGGTCTGAGCGGGCCAATAGTTGGGCTGGGCAAGTGATTCTGTTGCTGCCTGGGGACTGAGTGAGGCCCTGTTTTGGTTTTTCAAGACAGGATTTCTCTGTAACTTTGGAGCTTGTCCTGCAACTAGCTCTTGTTGACCAGGCTGGCCTCAAACTCACAGAGATCCACCTGACTCTACCTCCTGAATGCTGGGATTAAAGGTGTATGCCACCACCGCCCAGCTAGCAGGAGTCTGTCTTGTAGAGAACCCCTGAGAGTGCCTCACACAATCTGTCCGATGCTCACCTCAGTTACCAACTTTCTTTGAGCTTAAGAGCAGAAGCTTGTCTTCGAGGAACAGGAGTCAGTGGCCTCCCTTGAGGTCACAGACTAGGCGTCTGGAGCTGACTTGTTGATGGAGCAAGTGTCAGGAAGGAAGGAGCTCAGGATCACGGGTCCAGTCCTGGCTCTGGGGCAAGGTACCTGTGGCCCCTAGGCACACCGTCTCCTTCCCTGGAATGTTGTTCTGTCTGTGAGGCAATGGCTTGGACAGAGCATCAGCCTTGATGTTGTCCAGCCATAGGAGTGAAGCTCCTGCTTGCTTTCCCACCACTGTGTCCTGCTTCCCTTTCCCCTCTCCCCGGCAGGAGCATTCCACTGGGTACTCAGAGCCTGCTGCTATTTACAGCTGGCCTGGCAACTGCCTTGCACCTCCCATACTGAGCTCCTCCTGGCTGGGGCCCAGCATTGCCTGCCCAGTTCAACTTCAGTGTGGCTCACGTCTTGCTTCTTTGGCTCCCTCTTCTAGAAACCAGCCATGCCTGGGGGAAGGAGCTCCCCTCCCCACACAAGACACCATCTGGGGTGCCTCCCCTCTGCCCCTACCTACCGGATCTGGAGAGGGCAATCCTATTCAGCCTGGAGGACTCCTCGGTCATCACCACTGCTGTGCCGTGACATGGCTCTGCAGAACGCACTGTACACTGGGGACCTGGCGAGGCTGCAGGATCTGTTCCCCCCACACAGCACAGCTGATCTGCTGCTGGAGAGCCGAACAGCTGAGCCTCGCTGGAGCAGCCACCAGAGGGGTGAGGAGCAGCTGGGGGCTGGGAGGTCTGAGATGGGAACGGGGCTGACTGCTGCAGGAACAGAGGTCTCAAGGACTGAGGGCAAGTTGAAGTCCCTAGCTGCTGTTCCCCCCACACCAAACTTTCCCGACAATCCAGACCTTGGCTCAAGATAGAAGTCATGTGGAGCCCAGAATAGCTCCTGCTGGACATTGCGGCCAGGTCAGGCTCCAGCAAGGGACACGGGGCCTCTTCTCCCTCTGTCTTTTCCCTCTTTCCATCCTCTCTCTATATAGTCCCCTTCTCTTCCCCTCTGATCCTTTTCCTTTCCCGTATGCTCATGAGCTGGTCTCCAGAGGAGTGCAGGGGCCAGGGAGAGCCTCGGGGTGACAGACACTCCCTCTGTGCCAGGCTGGTGGAGAAGCCTAACAGAGAGCACCTTGAACCTGGCCTGGGACCTATCATCACCCGCACGGCTTCAGGACCTGTCCTTGCCTTCTGGCAGGCAGTACTGGCTGGGGATGTAGGCTCTGTCTCTCAAATCCTCGCGGACTCCAGCATTGGCCTGGCTCCAGACTCCATCTTTGATACCAGTGACCCAGAGCGATGGAGAGATTTCCGCTTCAACATCCGTGCTCTGAGTATGGGCCAGGCATGGATGGGTCTGAGTGGGAGAGGGGAGGCTTCAGACGGAGCGAGCTCCAGGTTCATCCCACCTCTGTCAGCTGCATCCCTGTGCCTGACAACTCTTTACCATGCCCCGGGATCTGAGGCCTCTGTCCCTCTCTCCCTAGGACTCTGGTCTCTGACGTATGAAGAGGAGCTGACCACTCCATTGCATGTGGCAGCCAGTCGCGGCCACACTGAAGTTCTCCAGTTGCTGCTGAAGCGTCGAGCCAAGCCAGACAGGGCCCCTGGAGGCCGCACCGCTCTGCATGAAGCCTGTACTGCAGGTCACACGGCCTGTGTCCACGTGCTGTTGGTGGCTGGAGCGGACCCCAACATCCCCGACCAGGATGGGAAGCGTCCTCTGCATCTCTGCCAGGGCCCTGGGATCCTTGAGTGAGTGACTTCTCATTCTGGACCCACTTTCAAGGGGGCAGGACCGGCTGGTGTGGTCAGTACGCAGTCACTCCCAAGACATCCACTGGACAGTTTTTCTGCTCCTCTGGAGGAGAGTGGAGAGCTGGAGCAGGGGCCCAGCCTCATGACCTTCCCTGAGGGCTCAGACCAGCTTTGTAATGGAGAAGATAGTATTGCTTTGAAAACTTGAATGTTTTCTGTGTGCATCCGCTGCTCCGCTGCTCCGGGCGTTGTGTTAAGCACAGTCCTGCGCTCAGGGAACCTGCTGTCCTGTAGTCAAACAGACTACAAAGGACTGAGTTAGTTCCAGTGGGTAGAATGGCAGGCTGGATTCCCATATCAGCAGGGCAAACTCACATCCACGGGCTCTCGAGAGCAGCTTAAGAACCAGGCCTGGTGGTGCGTGCTTGTAATATCAGCATTTTGAGAGGTGGAGACAGGAGGATTAGGAGTTCAAGGCCACCCTTGGCTTCACACTGAGGGGGAAAAGGACTAGGTTCAAGGGCTGGGGATGTGGCTCAGTGGTGGAGGACTTGCCCAGGCTTCCCAGAGCCCAGGGTCCCATCCCAAGCACAACAGAAGAACGAATTTGAGCTCATAAGACAATGATTGGCACATCTGTGTGGTTCGTCTTCTGTAGGGAAATATTCCTTTGCATTGGCCTAAACAATTGTGACCTAGGATTCAGGACCCTGAGAGGATGAGGCCCCACTTACTGTGGGATCTGAACAGAAGGGGCCTGGGAAGCCCCAGACACTCAGGCCCTCCCTGCATGACTCATGCCTTGTAGAAAGGACAGTCATCCGTTGAGTCCCCACCTATGAACCTTGTCGCCTCGTTAAGCTTGCTCACCCCCAGAGGATTTAACGGGTTAGTCACACAGCTGAAGAAATGGTCTATACCAGCATGGCCCAATAGAAATCAAAAATGAGCCGGGCGGTGGTGGCGCACACCTTTAATCCCAGCACTCAGGAGGCAGAGACAGGCGGATCTCTGTGAGTTCGAGACCCAGGCAGAGGATCTGGAGTTTAAGGTCATCCTGGGATGCACAGTGGTTTTTAGGAGGTGTTGGCTACACAGCAAGTTCCAGGTCAGACCCTGTCTCGAAAAAAAAAAAAAAAGAAAAAGAAGGAGAGAGAGAGAGAGAGAGAGAGAGAGAGAGAGAGACTGAGAGAACAAGGGAACCATGGATATAATTTAAAATTTCCTAGAAGCCCTAACAAAAAATTAAATAGGCAATTGCAGTAAAATATATATATAATATAAAAATGTCCAAGCCAGGCATGGTGGAACTAGAGGGGCTCAGGGAACCAAACAAGGGTCCTATGGACAGGCAGTCAGTGCTCTTAATTACTGAGCCTCAGCAGCGTCAGGTGCGTCTCTTACTAGTGTGGAAGCCTGGGCAAGATCCCCAGGCCTTGCAGCCTCAGTGTCCTCTGGGATCTGAGAATAATAGAGTACCAGGAACTGGGCCGGGCCATCAGAGGAACATGTTCCAACCACATGGCAGCTTGTGACTTCTTTCTTTCTTTCTTTCTTTCTTTCTTTCTTTCTTTCTTTCTTTCTTTCTTTCTTCCTTCCTTCCTTCCTTCCTTCCTTCCTTCCTTTCTTTCTTTCTTTCTTTCTTTCTTTCTTTGTTTCTTTCTCTTTTTTCATGACAGGGTTTCTCTGTGTAGCCTTGGCTGCACAGAACTCACTCTATAGACCAGACTGGCCTAGGCTGGCCTCAAACTCAGAAAGATCTGACTGCCTCTGCCTCCCGGGCTCTGGGATTAACGGCGTGTACCACCACCGCCCGGCATGACTTGTATTCTCATGAGGATATAGGGAATGATTCCTGTAGAAAGAACTCAGGGTTTGTTTTGTTCTTAAAGGTTACTTTATGTGTATGTTTTGCCTACATATATGTATGTGTACCATGTATGTGTCTGGTGCCTAAGGAGGTCAGAAGAAGGCTGTAGGATTTCCTAGAACTGGAGTGTGGATGGTTGTAAGCCATAATATGGTTGCTAGGAATTGAACCTGGGTTCCTCCGGAGGGGCAGCCTGTGCTCCTGATTGCTGAGCCATCACTCCAGACCCTAACGGTTTGATTTTAAGGCTACTTTGCTGGGGCTAAAGAAATGACTCACCAGTTAAGAGCATGTACTGCTTTTGCAGAGATCCAAGTTCGATTCCCAATAACCATACCAACTAGCTCACAACTGCCAATAGCTCCAGCTTCCATGGATCTAATGCTTTTGGGTGCGTGCATACATACACACACACACCATTTTTAAAATAGTAAAAATAAATCTTTTCAGACAAAACCCAGGAAGGTGTCACCGTGGGCTGCGACGGCTGGTGCCTGTAATCTCAGAACCCTGGGGGCAGAGACCAGAGATCATCTGAGTTCAGGAGCTGGAAAGCAAGCACAGAAGATTCACTGTTGCTTCCGCCTCCTGTTTCTGGGAAAGTCGGGTGGAAGGAGGGTGTAGTGCCATGAGGTTCCCAGGTGTGTTTGCTGTGCTAAGACCGGCAGAACTGCAGCATTGCCGCCCGCCCACTTTCCTCACCGACTCTCTCTCCCCGCATAGGTGTGTGGAGCTGCTCCTGAAGTTTGGCGCACACGTGGATGGTCGGTCTGAGGATGAAGAAGAGACTCCTCTGCATATAGCTGCCCGGCTTGGCCATGTGGAACTAGCAGACTTGCTTCTGAGATGGGGTGCTTGCCCTGATGCCCGCAATGCTGAAGGTTGGACCCCACTGCTGGCTGCCTGTGATGCCCGCTGTCAGTCCCCCTCAGATGCTGAGGCCACCACCCACCGCTGTTTCCAACTGTGCAGCTTGCTGCTCTCAGTTGGGGCAGATGCTGACGCTGCCGACCAGGACAGGCAGCGGCCCCTGCACCTGGCTTGCCGCCGTGGCCACTCGGCCGTCGTGGAGCTGCTGCTGTCCTGTGGCGTCAGCGCTAATGCCATGGACTATGGGGGACATACACCTTTACACTGTGCTCTGCAAGGTCCAGATGCAGCCCTGGCCCACAGCCCTGAGCGCATGGTGCGAGCCCTACTCAACCATGGTGCTGTCCGAGTCTGGCCAGGGGCACTGCCCAAGGTACTGGGGGCATGGCTGAAGGCAGGGAAAAGGTCACTATGGTGTGGGGACTAAGAGAGCCAGATCTGTGCTTGCTTCTCAAAAGCAACTTGGAGCGTTTGAGCAGATAGTTCTTTCATTCAACAAGAAAGTAAGACCTAAGGATAAGGAAGGGCACGCAGCAACAGCAAGTATGTCTTTGTGTGTGTGTGTGTGTGTGTGTGTGTGTGTGTGTGTGTAACAGGTATGTGTTCATGTGTGTTCATGCACCTGAGGAAGGTGGACTGAGTGCAATGGACAGAAGAGTCAGGACCAATGAGGGAAGCAGCGAGGACTGAGGGGCCTTCTTCAGTCCCTGAGCTGGGGAAGATAGAGTCTGAAGAGACCTGATGTAGCAGCAGGATTAGCTGAGCAGGATGTGCCCCAGACCTGGGCGAGCCTCCCAGAGGACAGAGCTTGAATCTGCTGCTCCCCAAGGCTCAGAGGTTCTGAGCACTCGCAAAGGAACACATCCCTGCTGTCTGAAAGTTTAGGACAATCCCCGCCCCTTCCAACTATCTGTCACCACCCTCTGGAGATGCTTTTCACTATCATCTTCCAGTTCTGCCTTCTATCAGCATCTCTGAAGGGGTCTACTTGAGATGCTGGGTTAGGGTGTCCTGGGAAGGGGCTTGGTCCCATGCTTCGTTGAGCTACATTGCAACATGGAGGTTACTAGGCCTGGAGTGGGGACAGTTATTCTCAAAGGGGATATATCAAATCTAAATTGGCTTTCTGGGAGGGTGACGGTTATGGGCAGGTTCCCGCTAGCCCGGCCCGCCTCCCTGAGCCGTCCCTGTTGTCCCTGCCTCTCCCCTTTGCTCACAGACCTAGCAGCATCTGTCTGGATTCCTAAGCAAGACCAAATAATTAAACAGCCCGAGAGTTCGGCAGATTGGTCTCCCCTTTGGGAAAATACAAGAAAATCAACAATTAACACTAATTAATCTCCTATTAACACCAGATAATTAGGAGACGAGCAATTCCCTGTAATCTGACTGCGGTTCTGACAGCTAATGATTTCCCCGCCAGGCGGGGGCAGGAAGAGGACCTGGTACAGCAGCAGACAGACATTCCAAGACCTCCACCTCTGCCCCTGCACCTGCCCCCCACCAGCCTGCTCCGGCCCTTCGCTGTCCCAGAGAGAAGGGTGACTGGGAGAGTAAAGGACACCATTTGTCCCTTTCTCACAACCTGCAGCCCCTATAGCCTTGACTATAGTCCCAACCCTCCCAGCGAGGGTGACTCTGAGCCTGTCTGTGTGACACGCCAGCCTCCGCCGTTCTCCGGAGGACTGTTGCATGGAGCTTGATGCTGAAGACCTGAATGCGACTCTGACTTTGACGCCTGTTTGTGAGGCTGGAAGGGAATCGCTGAGAGCCTTTTGCTCCCAAGCTCCTACTAAGGCACATAGCCTCTGTGAAGGAGATGGGAAGGGGTAGGAGCTCAGAAGGGCAATGCCTACCAGGCAGTGCACACTGGGTTGCTCAGCCACCACAACGGCCTGCAAACCTAGCTCCGATGCAGGGCACACTGTGTGTGCAAGTCACTTCATCCTCCTGTACCTGTTTCCTCATCTTAAAAAAAAAATAAAGTGGGTGGGGGTTCTCTACATCCTAGAGTTAGTGGGGACTATGGTTCACAGGTGTAACCCTAGCAGAGGGTGTGACCTACGCATGGTGCTGAGGATGCCTTGGCTGATGTTCTAGGATGAGGTGGATGTGTGAGAAAGCTCTTGCTAAGCTGCCAGGAGTCACACTAATGCATAGAGTCATGAGGCAAGGGAGAGGGCAAGGCTAGCTGGCGTAGCCTCAGTGAGGCTGGAGGACCACCTGGGCTTCCTGGAGGTGGGACTTGGCACGGGTTCTTTGGAGAGAGGGAGGGAACAGAGCAGGCCCTTCCAGCCGAGATGTACTATAAAAAGTACCAGGCAGGCGAGGTTGAGCCGGCTTCAGTAAGCACTGCCCAGAGGCAGCTGGAAATGGAGGCACTGGACCCATAAAATGCTGGCTCCAGGAGCCCCTGTGCCCGAACAAGGCCCTTCCACCTGCCTCCTCAATTCACTGGTGCCCTTCTGGGAAGCAGGGGTATCCAGGTTCCTGGTGTGTGCAGTGGTGCCTGTGATGGGTTAGGTGAGGTTATGTATGGAAATATTCTCCAGGGAGACAGCACTTAGCAACTTCACTACCTCTGAGTGCTAGGATTAAAAGCATGTGATACCATATCTGATTTTTTTTAAACTTAAAACATTTTTATGTGTTTGAGTATTTTGCCTACATCTTTGCCTGTGCATCACATAAATGCCTGGTGTTCACAGAAGGCAGGAGAGGGTGCTGGATTCCTTGGGACAGTAGTTACAATGGTTGTGAGCTGCCATGTAGATGCTGGGTCCTCTTCAAGAACAGCAAGTGCTCTTAACCCTGGAGGTGTCTCTCCAGTGAAGGTTTATGTGTTTATGAGAAGGGTCTCATGTAGCCCAGTTGCTTCAACTCTATGTAGCCAAAGATGATCTTGAGCTTCTGATCCTTCTGCCTCCACCTCCCCAGTACCAGGATGACTGGCCTGCACCCTTCGCCAAGTTTATATGGTACTTACCATTGAGTCAAAGACTCTGTACGCAGGGTGAGCCTTTTAGCACTTGAGCTATATCCCCAGCACTAGCTCTGATGTTCTTATCTGCTTGGGAGCCCACAGCCAGGTCAAGGGCTACATTTTAGGCAGCAGAAAAATCCAGGACAGAGTCCAGGAGAGGCAAATGGAAGGGCAGAGTGGTGTCATAGTTGGGAGCCAAAGGCCACTGTGCCAAGCATGCCTGGTAGAACTGCAATCTGGCTAAGCTTCATAACGTCTTTGTTCCTCAGTTTCCCTCACTTACAAATTGGGGACAATAACAACAATCCCTATCCGGTAGAACTGAGGATTAAGGATCCATGGCTGCAAAGTGACAGGAGAAGAATCTGGCGCCAGCCATGTGACCACTAGACACGCACTCACTGTCTTCCTGGCGTTTCTCCAATGAAGTACCACTCCAGGGCTGCGCCCACCCACAACAATTCCCCCTCCCAGTTTTGAAGGCTGGAGTTCGAAATCGAGGTGCCGGCCAGACTGGTTTCTTCTGGAGGCTCCAAGGGAGGTGCACTGTACACCTCTTTCTAGCTTTGGTGATTTTCTGGTATTTCTTGGCTTGTGCCCATACGGCTCTGAGATTCTCATAGGGCCACATTTCTTCCGGCAGGCCCTGAACTTGTGAGAAAGCCAAGGATGACCTTGAACTTTTGAGCTTCCTCTTTTCATCTCTGGATTCCTGGGATTTCAGGCATCGCACACCTGGTTTATGTGGTACTGGGGATCGGATCAGGGACTCATGAATGCTAGGCAAATTGTTAAGCTATATCCAAGCCCTGTTCTTCATATAAGAATAATTGCCATATTACATAGAGGCCACCCTAACAGCCACTGACTTGATTGAATCTGCAAAAGTCCTGTTTCCAAGCTGAGCATGGTGGCACAAATTTGTGATGCCAGCATTCAAGAATTAAAGTTCCTCCACCTTGGGTGACTTACAACAGCCTGTAACTCCAGTTCCATGGGATATGACCTCTTTCTCTGACCTCTACAGGCTCCCACAAACTAACATACACACAGAGACACAGACACATAAGGCACACAAGTATAGATAGATAGATAGATAGATAGATAGATAGATAGATAGATAGATAATAAAATTTTGCCATGCATGGCAGCACACATCTTCAAGCCCAGCACTTGGGAGGCAAAAGCAGGTTGATCTCTGTGATTTTGAGGTCAGCCTGGTCTACATAACAAGTTTGAGGTGAGTCATGGCTATATAGAGAGACCCTATCTCAATAAATAAGTAAAAAGGGAGGAGGCTGGAGAGATGGCTCAGAGGTTAAGAGCACTGCCTGCTCTACCAAAGGTCCTGAGTTCAATTCCCAGCAACCACATGGTGGCTCACAACCATCTGTAATGAGGCCTGGTGCCCTCTTCTGGCCTGCAGGCATACACACAGACAGAATATTGCATACATAATAAATAAATATAAAAAAATAAAAATAAAAAGGGAGCTAGAAATATGGCTCAGTAGCTAAAAAACACTTGTTGATCTTAAAGAGACCTGGGTTTGAGTCCCAGCACCTACATGACCGCTCACAACTCTCTCTAGTTCCAGTCCCAGGGACTCTAATGCTCCCTTTTGGCCTCTACAGTACATTATGTGGTCCACAGGCGTACATACAGGCAAAACATATACATGCATTTAAATTAAAAAAAATCTTTAAAATTAAATAAGCAAGTAAAAATAAAAATAGAATTAAGTAATAGGACCTCATTTTCAAATGAGGTCATACAAATATCAGCCATCAGAACTTCAGTAGATGTGGGGGAGAAACCGACCCTACAAGCGTGGCCTGATGGGATTCCCTGGTGAATCTCCTTCTCTTGCAGGTGCTGGAGCGCTGGTGCGTGTCCCCACGGACCATCGAGGTCCTGATGAACACCTACTGCGTGGTGAGGCTTCCCGAGGAGGCCAAGGGCTTGGTACCACCTGAAATCCTGCAGGTCAGTGTCCAGGACTCTGAGCACGTGACTTTAGGCCCTGAGAGACGCCGTTCCCCGAGGGGCAGCCTTGTCAGTCTCCCATAGAAATCGCTCAGCAGCCCACTCACCTCCTAGAAAAACATTCCTTCTGGAGTGAGTTCTGAGAGTTTTTAGGAGGTTCTCTGAGATGCTCCCAGCGGGCGCCATCCTGTCCCTGCTAGAAGAAGTGGGAGCCGGTTGTCCCAGGCTGTCCTCACTGAATCCCTCCTCCTGTCTCCAGAAGCACCATCGGTTCTACTCTTCCCTCTTTGCCTTGGTGAGGCAGCCCAGGTCCCTGCAGCATCTTAGCCGTTGTGCGCTCCGCTGTCACCTGAAGGGCAGTCTGCCCCGCGCGTTGCCACAGCTTCCCCTGCCGTCCAGCCTGCTCCGCTACCTGCAGCTGGAGTTTGAGGATGTGCTTTACTAGGTGAGCCCTGGCTTCTGGGGACAGCTACCATGCTTGGGGACAGGGAATGGGCAGGAGGCAAGAGAGTTGGAGGATGGCTCTGGCCTGAAGCAGCTGCTTCCAGGGCCATTGGAGTTCTTTGATGCCCTGCCTCCCCTTCCAGGTGTGTGCTGCCCTGAGAACAAAGCTCCCCAAAGAGCACCTGCAAGGACACAAGCTAGGCCATCTTGCCAGCACAAGGTCCATCTTCAAGTCGGGAATGGGTGCCTCGGTCCACACTTGAGAGAAGCAAACAGATGAGCATCCAGCTGATACTGCTGCAGAGAGAGCACCTGTGCAGACCTGCATGTGCATTGGAAATCTCCAGGCTGCAGCCGCAATAACGGTGCTGATGTTGTCTTAGCACTTGGGAAGTAGAGGCAGGAGGGTGGAGAGTGGCCAGATCATGCTACTTAGTGAGACTTCGTCTTTAAAAGAAAATCTACACGTTGTATGATTTGGTAGTGTCTCCAACAAGTCTCCACCTCCCTTGAGATGACTGGGTTGCCCCACTAGGCAAGTCCCGAGCCAACCTGCCCTTCTCCCTACACGAGAGTGAGAACTTGTCAGAGTAGGTGACCTGGGTTGGGCAGGGAGGAGGCAGGGGCAAAGGGAAGTTGGTGGCTGGGCCTGGAAGGGGTGGGAGAGCCCCTGGAGAAAAGGCTCAACATATGTGGGCTCTCTGAGCACCCTGCTTAGGAAAACAACCGTTTTTACCCAGTGCCTAACCCTGTAGGTCAGGGAGCATCACCCAGTGCACGTCTGGTCCTGGCTCCTTTTCCTTTGCTTCTGTAGTTGTTATTCTACATAAAGGTGTTTTACCTTAATGTGTGTATGTGCATAGTGTACATGTCTGGTGCCCCTGGAGACCGGAAGGGGAGGTCAGATCCTCTAGAACTAGAGTCACAGATGGTCATGAGCTGCCATGTGGGTGCTGGGAACTGAACCTAGCTCCTTAGAAAGTGCGCTTAACTGCTGAGTCATCTCTTCAGCACCTTTAATCCACTTTTTGTTTTTTGGTTTTTTTTTGTTGTTTTGTTCTGTTTTTTTGTTTTGTTTTGTTTTGTTTTGTTTTGTTTTTTGAGACTGGGTTTCTCTGTAGCTTTGGTGTCTGTCCTGGAACTCACTATATAGACCAGGTTGGCCTCGAACTCAGAGAGATCCTCCTGCCTTTGCCTCCCGAGTACTGGGAGTAAAGAAAGGCATGTGCCACCAGCCTGGCGTTAATCCAATTCTTTAAATCCAGCTTTGTGGTCTATAGAATGTGGAGCCGTCACTAGAGCTGGGCTCTTCTCTCAACTCTGTCATCAGCTTGTTGTGGAATAAAAATCTCCTCCCCTAGACTCAAGCTTCCACTTCTGCCATCGCAGCAGCCAGCAGTGGGCGGGGCAGCCCAGCTGCAGAGCAGCAAGCGTGCGTGGTGTCAAGGGTCACTGGACAGACTTCTCAGGCTTGCGGAGCACTTTGCCAGCCGGCTACAGGAAGCCCCGACTGTGTGGGGCGGGGCCTGGAGGCGGGGCGAGAAGGCCGTAGAGGCAAGTGGCTGAAGGTGGGTGGACTGGCCTCTGAGTCTGGCCTGACACAACTTGGACTGACCCGCCAGCCTGGGCTTCCGTTGCCAGCACGTGGTGTGAGGATTGGCGAGTGGCCTCTGGTGTGATCAGGAGGGTCCAGGGCTTTTTTGCAACCTCAGCCATGGAAACGCCTGCATTTTGCAAGGATAAAGGTTGGGGCCAGAAGTTGATTTCTAGGTGTTGACAGGGAACCCACAGCAGAAGGCCCTTCGCCATCCGCGGGGACCTCTCCGGGAGACTCTGTCTCGTCCCTGAGATGAGGGGTTCTGGAGGATGTTCCGAGTTCATTTGTTTGCCCATAATTACAGTGCCTCCTGTGTTCTAGCCCGGACCGGCACGAGGCTGCAGGGGGCACCAGGGCTAGCTTTCTGTCCTTCCTCTGCAGGAAACGCTAGGCAGACAAGAGAAAGTTGCACATGGTACTCAGTAGAGAGACGCAAGCAAACAGTGATGTGACAGCACTGGGGAGTTATTTTGGATTCAGTGGCAGGGAAACCTACTCTTTGAGGAGGTTGGATTAACATGAGATCAGAATGACAGGGAGGAGCCAGCGTGTAAGCTGAACGTGGGGAAAGGCAAGAGAATAACTGGGCTGTTCGCTGGTCAGTTGGAGACTAAAGCAGCCACCCTGGAATGAGAGGCAGATAGCAGCGAAGCAATTTTGGAAGTCTTTGGGGATGGTTAGTGCTTGCTGAGGGACTCACCCAGCGTGCCTCACGGTTTTTGGGTTTTTTTGTTTTGTTTGTTTGGTTTTCTTTTTGGCTTGAACAACTAAGTGGATGGTGGTACCAATGTCTACGGCAAGGGAGGTAGAGAGGTCTGTGTTAGCCAGATGAACCTGTTAGGCATCTCAAAGATGTGTTCAAAGGCCAGACGGACCAATGAATTTGAAACCCTATTTCAAGAGGACCTTGTTGCCCAGAGAACAACTGTGCTTACCGATTTTATTTAATCCCTTTCGCACACAGCCAGGGTTAAGGTGGTAAATACAAGGTTCTGAGACACGGTCCTGCCCTCAGAGAACTATCAATACAATCACACCACCCTCACAGAACACACGTGGGCTAGTTAGAAAACCAAGAGCAAGGTGTGGAAGGAGAGAATGATTGAGAAGGTGTGTCACAAAGGAGTGAGAGGCTCTTCTGCCATGTCTGAGGAATACTGGGTATGAGACTCATTTTCAAGGAGCCAAAAAGGGAAGACCAGAAAGGTGGTGTGGAGTGGTTGGTTTGAAGAGGCTGTGCCTAGCTTCATGTCTTGCTCCTTAATGAAGCAGCATTAGGAAAACCCTTTCTGGGGTTAGACATCCAGACACTTGCAAGCCAGGGAGCTTCCTCCCCAGCCTCCTGGCTGATGGTCCCGCGGGCCCAGAACCTCTCCCTGGTAATTGCTTTCCATAATGTGTTTGCTCCAAACCAATTTCACGCCTCCGTGAGGACTCCGCCTAGCACTGGAGTTGCGGACCTCCCTACCACCAACCTATCCGCCTGTGAACGGGTGGGCTCGCACATACCACAGAGTCAACATAACAGATACCCAGAATTCGAGAACCTTGACATAATAAAAGATGCATATGCCTACATGCGTGCACACTAGACTTTAAAATACTCGTGTACAATTCCCGCACAGAAGCCCGTGTTCACTGTGGAGTAAGAAGTGCTTTGAAGCTTGTACCTCTTGCCCGGTTCTAGTTTCTTTGCTCTCGACGCCTCTCTTGACTAACGCCAGGGGGCGCTGCGGCACCCCGCGGCTCCCTCGATGTGACTGCAGTTGCGTCCTAGTGCCACCAGAGGGTTCTCGCGGACAGAAGCCGACGTGGCCCTCAGTGGGAGGGCACTCCCGCCTGAGTGAGTCGGAGATGTGGACCTGTTGACTTTGGCTTTAGAACACTTTGCTCTTTGTGTGTGTGTGTGTGTGTGTGTGTGTGTGTGTGTGTGTGTGTGTGT